TTACTTGGTTGGCCTAGATCAAAGCTATTACGACCCTTTGTTGTTAGCTTAATGCTGCTCTTTGAAATTTGATTCACGTAAAGAATCCCACAATCATAAATTAGATCTCTACGGTTGGAATTGACTTACTTAATTTTGCATAAAATAGTTTAAACTTACCCCTTCAAATAATTTAAACTTTGACTCCAAATAACTTAGAGTAGCTACACCTAATTTTACATAAAATAATTTAAACTTGACTCCAAAATTTTAACTAGCTAAAAGTAGTCAAACTAACCTATCGTTAAAATCATCATAGCGGTGGCCTCCAGTCCGGAAAAAACTGGATGTGTAATACATCCCTATTCATGACTCACACGTGCGAGCGTCAATCTCCAGACGGTTCGTACGCCCTAAACCCATGATAGTCGAGCTAGCTTTCAGTAGCCGACGTCCGGAGGTCAACAAATGCCCGAGTATCATGCGAGGCAGGATGATCATCATCATCATAGTGTACACGTCTGTAACGACCCTAAATTTTCACATATCTAGAGTCGCCACTAACGTCTCATATTCATCTCTAATGTAGAATATAACTCCAAGAATGCTCATCATTATTAGCTGAAAAATTTAAAACTTCAGAGTACGTTAAAACATTAGAAAACACTACCAGACTTACGTGTTTCAAACATCACGCTGGAGTTCAAAATAAGATAAAACAAATTACAAATTAAATAATTTAAATAAATGAAATGCAAACACCCCATCCTAACCAAGACTAAGAATTTTAAATATGCAATTATCCTATGCACGCACCACAGTCTCTAATCATGATGCCACCTTCAACCATACATGGGCGCCTTGCCTTTACCTGAAAAATAATATGGCACATGGCCTTGGAAGAAACACTCAGTAAGTGATCCCACTATAGGGGTCATGCTAATGCAAACACATGCGATCATGAATTAGGGACCTATCTCTAATCATCTTAAGGGTGGCCTCCAGTCTCGGACAAATTGAATGTGTAGTACTTCCCTACAGACGACTCACACGTGAGAGTGTGAATCCCCAGGGCGCTTGCACACCCCCTGGACCCTCTGGTCAAGCTAATCTGTAGCGACGTCCGGAGGGCAGTAGAACCCCATAGTGTCATGCGTCTCATGAACACCCTCATCTGTGTGCATTCGCACCTGCGTGCATTCGCGCTCATCATATAGTGCTCGTCCGCACTCATCATCTCTAGGGGAAGTAACCCTATGCTTATGAACATACAATATGCATGAGGTCCCTCTAAATCCAATTATACATCTCTCCTGACACAACCCTCTAGTCTCATCTCTTGGTTATACTATGTAACAGGTGCTCGTGGATATTTACATTAATATCATTTTCATACTCTTAAGGTTGTGTCCTATGTCGATCTAACGACATGATGCAATATGGCAAGCAACATCATTAAGGCATGTTCAACATGGAAAACATCATCATGTTAATAACATCATCATGCATACATCATACTCATCATAGAAGCCATTAAGTGCATCAAATATAACATGTACATCATGCATCAAAACATAAATAACGTACATTTAACATACATCACAACACAACGTCATACTCATACATCATCATAAGTCAAACCATCTTTAGTCTGTCCTATAGTAAGACCACTTACATGATTAGCTTAGACTAGTATCATGAATTAATCAAGTTCAGTTTTGTTCTTTGTATCCAAGCCAACCTATATGAACCATGATATCAATTTCAATTCTCTAAATTTTACCAAAGTCAATGTGTTAAACTATGAGCATTAGAAACTTTAAAATATATATATATATTTCTCTTTATCCTTTTTACTTTTTACTTTATGATTTACTTTGTCAAATTGTTTCAGTATTTACCTAAGTAAATATATATATTCCTTTACCTAAGTAAATATATATATATGTATTCCTTTACCTCTCTCTTTAATTCTTTAAAGATCTCTCTTTTTAATTCTTTTCCCTTTCTAATATTTTTATTTCGGTATAAGGAAAAGATATATTGATTTCATTTAAAGAAAGATCATGAAGATCTATGATTTCATTTGAAGATTTACATGATTTCTAAAAGATAAAAGGAAAGGAGATCTTAGTTACCCATAATTTTTCTATCTCTGAAGTGAAGGCTATTTCCAATTTTTCTCTCTCAAAATCTATGGATCTTTCCTTTGTTTTTTTCTACAATTTTTCCTTCCCAAAATATGCCATTTTTTTTCTCTGTTTTGTTTTTTCAGAACAATTTGCAGTGAAGTAGGTGTTCTTGAGAAATCTGTATATGTACCCACAAAATGCATGAGTTCCCTATTGTTTTCATCTTTAAATCATCCTTATGACAACCCTATTCACCGTTCACATATTACTCGAAGTAACATGCATACATTGGCCTTCATAAGTTCATCATCATTAACATTAACTAGGGTTCCATCTTAGAAAAATCATTGTCATAATGCATGGAATTTAATACATGAACATCATCTTAATAGGGAATATCGTCATATTAAGTCATCTCATCATCATACATCTTACAACGTCATATTGTCATACATCATCATCATCATCATGTCATCATCATATAATGTCATAATATAACATTGTCGTATAACATCATATAGCATCATCATATAATATCATCATATAACAGTCATGTTGTCATATATCATAGTCTCATCATCATATAATATAGTCACATCATCATATAATATAAAACATAAATGACATGCGCGAGGGCCTCTCAGCACGTGTCATCATACATAATCCATCTAATCTATCGAATCTCCATTCTGGCAAGAATCAGGTGATCAACAGTGACCATCTGTACAAAATCCATCGAACTCGACTCTCATCCGTCGTATCTTCTCCAAAATTGGTTATATTCTAGAACACTCACAGATCATCACATCCAGCTGGATACAAAATCAAGGTTAGTGAGGCTTTGATCGGAGTAGATATTTTTGACGAATTATCTAGAAAGTTCAATCTCCAATTAACTATCGGTTTTGGAGCTCTCAATGTTAGTTGAAGCTTCCCCTTTAAAGTCTGAAGTTTGGGAACAATTTCGGACAAGAATGGAGGAAGTTCGAGTTCCCAATCATAGGCAATAAGCATTTAGATTTTGGGTCTCCTACTCTTGGGTTTCTTCCAAGAGAGCAGTTCTCCACCATTTCTCTTCAAACTTGTTCCTATAGTTTATAAACAAGATTACCCACAAGTTCTATGAAGGAAACGAGTGCTGAAAGTGCCTAGAAACAATTTCTCCAATCCAATCCGCCATTAAAGAGCTTCAAGAAAAACTCAAAATTCCAATATGAGGATAAACGAGGATTAATCGAGCAAGGACGATCCTAATAAGTTTCCTCCAAGGAATGTTTCCATAGAAGAACATGAAGAGAAATAACCTCAGAAGCGTGACCAATTGAAGAAAATCTGATTTATGCTCAAATTGGGGTTAAGTTTCGAATTCCTATCTATGGTTCCTTTTCCATCAAATTGAGAATTTCTTAAGCTTCAGAGGATCAAGTGGAGTAACTTTGATGAAGGAATCGAGAGCTGAAACATCGTAGAATAAGCTACCCAAGAGATCAATTTTCTGGCGTTTTGCCTAACTTGCAAATCGAGGACGATTCTCCAAAATTAGGGACACACACTCAACGTCGTTCCTCCAAACCAATTCCTTTAGCTTGAGGGAAGAATGAGGAAGAGGTTTCGAGAAGAAATTGAGACTTAAAAACCCCTAGAATTGGATACTCAATAAGAAATCCTTTGTTTTTGCTCCAGCGAGAAATCATATTGTGGACAAACTTTGGAGGCGAATATTCTAAGCTAAGATCCACGAGAAGGTATGAAATCAATCCCAAACTCTTCCTTGTAACACCATTTTTAAGTTTCATGAAGAAATCGAGGGGAGAAATGGCGTGATAGGGGCTGTGGAGGGCGACTTTCAGATGGTGGTACTATATGTCGTGCGCGTCTTCTTTGCGTCTGGAGGAAGAAGACGATGACGTGACCAGTTCAATTGAACCTACCATGTCAACCCAAAACTCGACCTTCCCTCAGTTTTTCTCAATTTCAACCCTCTTTTAGATCGATTCTCATAAAAAAATATATATATATATAGTTCCAGAAACTAGACACAATAAGAAGTCTGTGGAAGGACATTTGAGGTAATTCGGGTAATGGAAGCTCAAGAACGGAGGTCCCAAACGTCAACACGAGGTAAGTAGCCACTTTGGACTTTTTGTTAAGAAATACTTTAGAAATCACTTGCATTTCCATATGAACCCTAAACCAAGTATGAATAAGGATATATGAAAAAAAACTCAAAGAATCGGGAGTTAAGGCCCTAAACCAATCAAATTGATCGAGAATTAGGTAATATTAAAATAACCCACTAGATGAACTCCGCTGCCTATGAAATTTTAATGCTGAGCATATTATAGTAGGTTGAGGTTATATATGAAATTTGGTGGTCATTGGTCAAACCAAGAAATGGTGCAAAATGACCATAATGCCCCTAAGAATATTTACCTACGATTCATGACCTAGATGACCCCCAAATGCTATGAAACTCTGTAGTATATCTTATTTTATGATTTTTGATGATGTGGTAAATTTTAAAAAATATTGAAACACGTTAAGTAGCAAAACTAAGAATTAGAGGTAAAATTACCAAAATACCCCTAGGACTACTTATGAAAATTCAAGTTCTTTACGTGCTCTAATTCATTTGCTACTTCTTATAAGGTCTATTATGAAGAACATGAAGATATGTTTGAGGTTTCAAGTTGATTGGAGCAAGTTTGGAACCTAAACCAAGTTAGGACCCAAGAAACACCCCAAGAATCAAGACTCTTCTAGAACCCTCTAATTCCTCCCTATGAATCTATGACCTTCTAGAACAACTAACGCTAAGATGGATTCATGGTTACAAATGCAAGTTAAGACTTATTATAACGACCCGAAAAAAAAAACAATAACACCAACAACTCAGTCGCTAGAAAACTAGCAAGTTTTTCAGTGACCGCCGAATTTTGCAGGCCTCAGTGACCGCCGAGTTTTGCAGGCCCCACGCGAAACGACAGCCACACCTTGCTCAGCCTTCAGCCCACGACTCCGATCAGAATACCTGCAAACAGATAAAAGAACGAAAATACGAGAGAGAGAGAGAGAGAGATTTCGGATAACGTCAGCGAGCCCTAAATCACCCTAAAATCGACATCAAATGCTCAGTTACCACCACGAGAAGGATTCCTAACAAAAGCACAATAACTCAGGGTACGTTTTGTGCCTTTTCGTAATTGTCGGTAACCGAGGTCAAAAAATTGGGTTTTCCTAAACGTTCTTAGATCGTGGTTTTATGAACTTTTAGGCCACTAAACTTCGACGAAGGAAAGAAGGATGACAAATAGAGAGGAAAAAGAAGAAAGAGGACCGAAATCGGCAACGAAAACGCCGCGGGAAGGAGAGAGAAAATACACCGAAAAATCGGCCGGTCGGGTAAGGAAGACGAGATCCACGGATCCGGGTCAACTCGAACCAAAAACCTGATAGAGCAGCCCGACTTCTTTCCCCTCGGCCTCTGCCTTCGGCCCAGCCCAACTACAGCGGCCCAAAACTCAATCCAGTCGAGAAGCCGAGGTTCACCTGAACCGACCCGAGACCAGACCCATGATCCAATCGAACCGGCTTGCGACCCGATCCAATAAACTGAGGCCCAACAACCAGCCCGACCCAGTAGCCTTCTGTAGCAGTTGACCCGAACCGGAGTGCGACCTGCGCCTCGACCCGACGTACACCGCGCGACGTGGCATGTTCTGATTCTGCCACGTGGAACACAGCGGCGCAGGCGGTCCCTCGGCTCGGCGGCTCTCAGCGGCTGTTCGGCTCGGCTCCCCTATTTTCGGCCTGGTTTCCACTGTTTCGACCCTTTGGGACCTGTTTTCGGCCCTAATTAAGGTATTCGAGGCCGTTTTAGAGCTGAATTTCACATTTATTGAATTAATGGTAAATTAATTGTGAAATACTAACAGAAGGTGGCGAATGGTGTGATAGGAAACAACCCCGGCAATGTAGGAAGCAGCTCTCACGGAACGGGAGCTTACGTTTAGCTAATTAAGGAATACTTCGGCCAAGGCCAACCAAGTAAGTGACCTTATTATAGGATAAGCTAAATATTGTTTGATTTATGATAATGTATGAGTATGACGATGTGTTGTGTTGTATGTTAATTGTACGTTATTTATATTTCGATGCATGACGTACATGTTTTATTTGATGCACTTAACGACTTCTATGATGAGTATGATATATGCATGATGATGTTATTAACATGATGATGTTTTCCATGTTGAACATGCCTTACGATGTTGTTTGCCATATTGCATCATGTCGTTAGATCGACATAGGACACAACCCTAAGAGTATGAAAATGATATTAATGTAAATATCCACGAGCACGTGTTACATAGTGTAACCAAGAGATGAGGCTAGAGGGTTGTGTCAGAAGAGATGTATAATTGAACTTAGAGAGACCTCATGCATATTGTATGTTCATAAGCATAGGGCTACTTCCCCTAGAGATGATGAGTGCGGATGCGTACCGTATGATGAGCGTGAATGCGCACAAGTGCGAATGCACACAGATGAGGGTGTTCATGAGGTGCATGACACTATGGGGTTCTGCTGACCTTTGGACGTCGTTACAGATTAGCTTAACCAGAGGGTCCTAGGGGTGTGCGAGCGCCCTGAGGATTCACACTCGCACATGTAAGTCGTGTGTAGGGAAGTACTACACATCCAATTTGTCCGAGACTGGAGGTCACCCTTAAGATGATTAGAGATAGGTCCCTAATTCATGATTGCATGTGTTTGCATTAGCATGACCCCTATAGTGGGGTCACTTTCAGAGTATTTCTCAGACCGTGTGTCATATTGTTTTTCAGGTAAAGGCAAGGCACCCATGTACGATTGACGACTGCATCATGATCAGAGACTGTGCGCGTGCATAGGATAGTTGCATATTTAAACTTCCTAGTCTTGGTTAGGATCGAGTGTTTGCATTTCATTTATTTAAATTATTTAATTTTCAATTGTTTTATCTTATTTTGAACTCCAGGATGTTTGAAACACCTAAGTTCTGTAGTGTTTTCTAATGTTTTAACGTATTCTGAAGTTTTAAATTTTCCGCTAATAAAGATGAGCATTCTTAGAGTTATATTCTGCATTAGAGATGAGCATGAGGCTTAAGAACAACACCACACAAGCTTAACACCTACCCAATTAAGAAGAATGCTAGGTACCACTCAAGGACGAGAGACCAAGGTCCCCAAACTCAGAAACTCAAGAATGTTAGGTTATACTCTAAACATGTCTAAAGTGACCCGTGACCTCCCACCAAATGGTGTTTTCTAAGGCCCAAGAATTCCTCTTCTAAGTGGGATGCTCTGCACCATGTTTCCCTTGCACGATGTCATGTTTGGCCTCAAGTTTCTCTCACCTAGAAGAGATGCCCTGCACCAAGTTATGGGTACCCAAAAGATTTTCAGGATGTCATGTTCAAGTATGCACCGAGCACGTGACCTTTATGGTTTATCATGGGGAGTAGTCTAGGGCCACGATGGAACAAGAAGAGTGAGTTACCTTAGCCATGAATCAAGAACCTCCTAAGACCTCCCACGGTATAACATGCTCATGACATAGACTACGTTGCTTGGAACGCATGAAATCTTGAGTGTAGTTATTCAGACTGTATCATAGGGTAAGCCCTTGATGCAGGATTAGACTACATCGCTTGGAACGTTAGAAGCCTTGGGTGTAGGTTTTCAGACTATGCCTCTTGGAACGCATTTATCCTTGGGCATAGGTTAAGCAGACTGTATCAAAGGGAAAACCCTAAGATGCAGGTTAAGGCTACGCCGCTTGGAACGCATGAAGCCTTGGACGTAGGTTAAGGCTGTGTTGCTTGGAACGCATGAAGCCTTGGGCGTAGGATAAGGTTGTGTCGCTTGGAACGTATGAAGCCTTGGACACAAGATTGTTAGGTGCATAGCTAGTATCGTAAATCCTAGGGGGATTGTCTTGGAGAATGAATCAAGAATAGAACAAGAAACAAGAAAGTACCAAGAACAAGAGAAAGATCAAGGTCCAGAACATGGATCAAGATCCTAATTCTAAGAACAAGAACCAAGAATCAAGAACCATAGTACTAAGGCTCTTAAAGGAAAACCGAGGTTTTAGAATTCAAGGACCAAGGTCCTCAAGAAAGATCAAGTTAAGAACCCTAAGTCAAGAACAATAATTAGAGGGCCTAAGTACTTACAACAAGAACAAGAACAAAACAAGAACAAAGAATGTGGTACCTAAAATATTAAGGACATGATTAAGAGCCTACAGTAGGCTACTTACTGAGTCTTGTACTCAATCCTTATTCTCCTTTTTTTCAGGTGATAAGGAGCGGGTCAAAGTCAGGAGTAGACTTTGGAGCAAGTGCCATAGAAAAACCTCACCAGTCCCTCAACCCTTTTGATTTAAAATGTTGTGTCTGTTCCTTATTTTATGTTTTAACTAGGATGTTGTGTTTTAATTACTTATGTATAAACTTTATTTTGATCTAATGTAAATATAATGTTTTAAATTCCTTTGTTTTATTTCGCAAAAAATTCACCCGTCTTTTAGAGTCATCGAGTCAGCCCGGTCTTTACAATTACGTACGAAAAAATTGACAGGAATTAATGTTTTCATAATTCACAAACCCATTATGTTATAGATGAATGGAGGTTTGACTTGCATCATGAGTTTATGTCATGATTTTAAGCTATGGGGTCTCATGCATTCTTGTGTGTCATATGCATCGAGATACTTCCTCGTAATCATTAGTACAATTGTATACCTTATAACTGACGAAATTTATGCTTGCCATGATGTTATACTGGTCATTTCCCTTTGTGGTGTTCGGTAGCCTGACGAGCCAGGCCTATGGGGTATGTGAGGCCGCCTAATGGACCAATGTTTGCATGTGTGAGCCACGTGTAGAGAAATACTACATATCGGATCTTGCTCGGACTGGAAAGCTATCTAAGGTCATGCTATGATGTTTTAAAAATGATAAGTCACACCATATTGCATGTGTAGAGAAATACTACACATCGAACCTTGCGTGTGTGGACTACGTGTAAAAAAAATACTCAAGCCACGATTACTCTTATTTTTAAGTTAAAGGTAAGTCACTCTTGTACGGATGGTGGTGTCACAATGAAGGTCGTAGAACTAGTGTTAGGATAGTCGCATTTGTGTCTATTTTGTAACCCTTGAGGTTAGATCAAGATATTGTCTTATTATTTTCTTTATTTTATTTAAATTTCACGTTATTTATTTTACGCTATTTTATTTTAAAACTTTTATTACGAGTGTTTAAGTCTATGGCATCGTTTTTTGAAATATTTTAAATGAACGTTTCTGTAATAACCATCATGTCATGCATATAGTAGTGACTTCATTGTAGTAAAAAAATTGGGTCGTTACAAATGAAAAGACCCTATTTTCAAAATTCTTTTCAAGGTAGCTCAAATGGCGACTTTAATTTAAAGCGTTCACGAAAGTTGGTTTTCTTCGCAAAGAGTGTAGAGCTCCTCCCTCTTGATCTAAAGTGATCAAAATCAAGTTTAGAGGTGGCCTATAAATGAATAATTTGTAACAACTTACCCAAAATAATTCACTAAAATTTCCTCCATACTTAGTTTGTTTGGTGACCTAGATCTCGATCTCTTCTTTCAAACAAGACCGATTTGAGCTTCTAATTTCAAGTATCGAGAGAGTGCATAAGTAGATCTCGATCTCTTCTTTCAACAAGACCGATTTGAGCTTCTAATTCTAAGTATCGAAAGAGTACACAAGTAGATCTCGATCTCTTCTTTCAACAAGACCGATTTAAGCTTCTAATTCCAAGTGTCGAGAGAATACATAAGTAGATTTTGATCTCTTCTTTCAACAAAACCGATTTGAGCCTCTAATTTCAAGTATCGATAGAGTACATAAGTAGATCTCGACTCTTCTTTCAACAAGACCGATTTGTCATTTTGGGCTATTTTTCCAAAATACATCCCTTTAAGGTTACTTTTACAAATTTGGCTTATAATAAGTATTGACTTTCATGGGAGTTAAATTTCCAATTTTACCCTTCTAGGGCTATTTTCCAAAAATAACTTTTTAAAGCTACTTTTCCAATTTTACACATAACGTATGAGTAAAGTGTTACATGTCTTTCCAAACATCATTATTACCTACGCACCCTCGTTTCTTCCTTTCCTCTTTTATTTTGAATATAGTTAATTAATTAATATTATAATTATTAAATTAGAATAAATTATAATATTTTATTAAAATATATATTTAATTCAGTTCTACAAATGTAAGCTTACTAAATTAATGCAATTACTCATAAAAATGAAAGAGGAAAGATAAAGCATACATGCATTCAAAAATTCTTACCATAATCAATAATATTGAGGGTGGAAAAAGAATCAAGCCTAGTTTTTATAACGCGTATATTAGGGAGCGATTTTCACACCCTTAAATAATGGCACAACGCTTGTTGTCTGGCCCTAAAACCATTTGTAATAGCCTAAGCCTAACTGGCTCTGATACCATTTGGAATCACCCATGGCACAACTCTAATTGTCTAGCCCTAATACCATTCGTAATAGCATAAGCCCAACTGACTCTGATATCCTTTGTAACCACCCATGACACAACTCTTGTTGTTTAATCTTAATATCATTTGTAACTGCCTAAATTCCATTGGCCCTCGTACCATTTGTAATAGTCCATGACACAACTTTTATTGTTTGACCCTAATACCATTTGTAAGTGTATAACCCCAATTGACCCTCATACCATTTGTAAGAGCTCATGACACAACTCTAGTTGTCTGGCCCTAATACCATTTGTAAGAATCTAAGCCCAACTGCCTTGATATCATTGTAATAGCCCATGACACAACTTTTGTTGTCTGACCCTAATACCATTTGTAACAGCCTAAACCCAACTGACCCTAATACTATTTGTAATAGCCCATGACACAACTTTTGTTGTCGGGTCCTAATATTATTTGTAACAACCTAAGCCCAATTGACCCTAATACCATTTGTAACAGCCCATGACACACTCTTGTTGCCGGGTCCTAATACCATTTGTGCCCTGCTACCATTTGTAACAGCCCATGACACAACTGTTGTTGTCTGACTCTAATATCATTTGTAACAGACTAAACCCAACTAGTCCTCATACCATTTGTAACAACCCATGACATAACTCTTGTTGTCTGGCCCTAATACCACTTGTAACCACCTAAGTCTGGCCTTGATACCATTTGTAATAGCCTTAGTCTGGCATTAATACCAGACATTGATATCATTTGTAACAGCCTAAGTCTGACATTAATACCATTTGTAACAGTCCAAGACTTGCTTTAGCTCGTTACATATCACTGTTAGCCTCATGGTTTCAGCACTGTTTCAAAACACATATGTTAAGAAAAGGTTGAGAGCTCACATTTAGTTTCTATATTTTTAGTGTGTATACTTTGAAAATATCTATTTTAGTCCTTATACTTTTACAAACGGACCATTTTAGTCCATCAATGATCTCATTTCTTTCCTTAATTATCGTGAGAGAAAGGAAAAGGAAAGAGATAGTGGAGATTCAAATCCTATACATTGCATACACAAACGTATACACACTAAAAAGAAAATGAGTAAGAGGTCATAAGAAGGCTACAAAGCCAATTATATAACCAACTTACACACATTACATTTTTCTCTTCCCAAAAAGAATGAGAATACAAAAATTTAACCCACTTCCATATTGTCCTTCACACTATATTGTCATTACAAAAATAAAAAACAAAAGAACTTGCAACCAATAACACAAAACCAAACCATAATGATTTGTACCAAAAATAAGGGGGCAGCAAACACAAAAGCCAGGCAAGAGAGAATAAGCAACACGTTCCAACTGCTCCGCTCCATGCTCCATGCTCCATGACATTCTCGGCAAACATGTACTGCGCACGTCACCTGCCCTTGTCTGCTGCTCGAAAACTTGACACGGTGAAGTAATTTATCCATCTGGATTTACATATCTTACATTATATGGAGCGTCCTGAGGGAGGGCGGGTTCTCAATGCCCTCCCCTTTCGGTTGGCGATCCTGGGACAAAAGGAACAAACCCCCGACCCCCAAACATTGGACGCATGAAGGCGTCGTCGAACTTTCGCCAGTACCGATGCACAGTGTGCGTAGGAGTTGCAAGGAATGCGCGTATACTCGTTGGACGAGAAACATGGAGATTGTCAAGATCCAGCTCTGAATCTTGTGCGCTTCCAAGTAGCGGAACCGAGAATGATTTTGGAGTCGCAGGGTCCGATAGCATGCTGGTCGTGAGTTTCGGGTGGGGTATCAAACACTTAATAAGAGGTTTGGTCAATAATCCAAACACCTGTTGACAGCAACATTTCAAACGCCACAGATTAAGAAAATAGCCTTCAAAACAAATTAATCACTAGATTAAATCAAAAGGAGTTAATCCGCCGCGCTATACCATCGTGCTGAAGAGGACAACGGTTACGGTACTAGTGATCATCATTGCATTCCCTCGTAGTTGAGTGTGCCCTGCTCTGGTGAACTACATTTCATGTCGTTAAATTGGTTATCAATAATGGATTAGTAATCGTTCGTTCGGGATGGCAGCTGATAAAAGTACTTCGAAGTACCTGGTGATAAGCTAGAGCAATGGAGACAGCCCCTCTCATGAGACCAGCCCACCAAATGATAACCTACAAAACCAAAAATCTTGATGGTTTAAAAGTAGGACAATTATAGCACGAGTAAAACCCGAGTTCGAAAGAATGCATACTTGTTCCCTGAAAGTAATTTTCTCATCTGCTGATTTTTTAGCTAAGTTGGATAAAAACGATAATGGAAAAACAAAAGCAGCTCTTCCAACCATAACCAGGCCGAGTAACATTGCACTCACAGCAACCGATGTCCCCGGACTGCAATATCCAATAAGAAGACGTAAAAGACAGCACATTAAGAAATGGTTAATAAAAAAAACGAGAATAGGCTAGCAAATATTGTCCGTTTTAGCCTGTTACGTATCGCTGTCAGCCTCACGGTTTTAAAACGCATCTGCTAGGGAGAGGTTTCCACACTCTTATAAAGAATGCTTTGTTCCCCTCTCTAACCGATGTGAGATCTCACAATCCAACCCCCTTGGGAGCCAGTGTCCTTGCTGGCACATCGTCCGATGTACCATTTGTAACAGTTCAAGCCTACTGCTAGCAAATATTCTCTGCTTTGGCCCGTTACGTACCGCCGTCAGCCTCACGATTTTAAAACGCATCAGTTAGGGAGAGGTTTCCACAACCTTATAAGCAATGCTTCGTTCCCCTCTCTAACCGATAGAGGATCTCAGATAATGCACTATGTATTCAATAAACTAACGTGTTATAGGTCAACTTGATCCTAGCTCAAATGGCCCAGGCATATGCCCTCGACCAAGAGGTTAAGTTCGAACACTACGCTACATGTGATTGACGATGAATAAAAGAAAACTTGTCGTACCTATCACTAACAAAGCTCCACTTCTCGATGTCTAATGCATCCATGCCAACATAAACAAAGATAAATGACTCGGAAATGAAGGATAAGGTAGCAAACGCGTGTCTGTTATAGCAGATAAAAAGATGTGTTAGAAAATAAGTATCAGTTTGAGATCATTATAAAAGGTTGAAGAACTACGTACTTGGTGGTAACTCTTGAGCTCTCAGTCACATTATGCCAGGTATAATGTGACATTACAATTCCACAAAAGAACACTGTGAGAATGCCACTCAAATCTAGTAACTGCACAGAATATCCACCAAGAAAAAGTAAAGATGGTAATTGCCAATGTCTCTTAAGCAACTAGTGTTTGATTGAGTAATACAAAATACTTACTTCAGCCAGCATATACGAAAGATACGCCATGAGTATCATAAGAGCGACCTCACGATCTGTCGAGTGCCTGAATTTTATCAAAAGTTACTCCATCAAATTCCTTGTGAATAGATATGCAATTATACTTCCCAAACACGTGCGTGCCAAAAAGAAACGTAAAGTATGGATCCTGAACTCGATCAAGTGTTCTCCATTTTTATTTTTAAACTAAGGTGAATACGAGCTAAACACCATATGAAGTTATTTTTACTTTTCATAACCTTGGATATTTAGACTATGTTTATGAGCAACTCAACTAATTCCAATACATGATCACCTAACCGTGCAACATCTTGTACTAACTAAATGTCTCCTAACGACAGACGACCACCAAACCGTTCACAGATTACATTCACAACAATATATCTGAAAAGAAAGGTCATCTACACATAAGACCAACTTAAAATATCTGCTAACTAAGATTTTCTGCTATTAGAGTTCCCATCCCATCTCCACCCCCAGTGTGTATCTTTTCGAAGCTTAAAATGAGAGTTATCATATATAATCATTTCAAACAATATGAACATAATTGTGAGATCCCACATCGGTTGGGGAGGAGAACGAAACATTCTTTATAAGGGTTTGGAAACCTTTCACTAGCATATGCGCTTTATAAACTTTGAGGGGAAGCCCGAAAGGGAAAGCCTAAAGAGGACAATATCTGCTAGTGGTGGGCTTGGGTTGTTACAATAATAATCGTCAATATTCTTGTAACTATTGAAAATGGAACTTTACTTGGAATCATGAAAGCATGATGAAAAAATTATTTCACTGCCACAAGTTACTTGTTGGTCACCTACTAATGCATTAAGAATGCATCAAGAGAAGGGTCTAAATGAAGAACAATTCCAAAGATATATACCTGCCAAAATATAACTTTCTGATTATATAAGCACTCAGCAGCCCAACCTGCAAGGAAACCATGTGCGTGTGATTCAATAAACAGTTACCATACAAGACAGTAGAGAGAGATTGATGAATAGAAAGCAAACTCACAAACACTCCAAGTAGAGTGCTCGTCGAAAACAGATAAAAGAAGCTCCCAAGAAAATGTATAGCAACTCTTGCATCAATGTTGCTGAGATCTATGCTTTGAATAGCATTGAAAAGCACCACAGACGTAGCGTCATTGACCACGCCTTCCCCAAATACGAGACTGTAGAGTAGAGGGGTTTCGTCCTGGCTTAATATCTGCAGCATCAAATGTATTACGGTTTCTTTGGGCGCCCAGGCAGACTAACTAAAATAAAAATGAATAAAGTATAACATTGCTATATCCTGCACCTGAAGCGTGCATACAGAATCCGTTGCAGCAAATATAGCTCCAATCGCTGTAATCGGATATTAAGACATTAGTCTTAGAACAGAAAAGATCAATCACAAAGGTAATAGAAAAGGAGATGGATAAAAAATAAGGATATACCTAAAATATCAGCAATGTCCAGTGATCCAACATCCATTTTCTTAAAGAACTGAAAAGCTCCTGAATCAGGCACCACAATTGACATACGACAATGAAAGATCAAAGAATGATAACAAAAAAAACTACAAGATAACTATGATTAACAACAGAAAACAAAATATTTAAGAGGATATTTTAGCCCATAAAGATTTTGCAGAAAAGCCTCAAGAGAAAAATAATAGAAGAATGTTTTCAGCATTGTTCAATTGTCATTACAAAAATTAGGCATGAAACATCTGGAAGAATCTAAAATTAGAAACAGAAATATAGTTTGAAGATATACCTAACGAGATGATGAAACACGAGACTAATGTACCAATTGCACCAAACAGCATAATTGTCATAAAGTTGACAAAGAACTGCTTCTTTTTCACCTGAAACCTGATGCAGAAGAAGGAGATCAGCCAAGACAAAGCACAAGGACAGGGTAGCACGAAATAATACAGAAAAAGTTGCCTTTATTTTGAACATCACAGCCAAATGAGAAGTTTTACAATACGAGACTATTATCAAAAAATCCATTAAGATCACGAGAAAGACTTGGAATTTTTTACCTCGATACGTCTAATTTTCTTTTACTATTTATTTAGTTCTTCATCCCCAATCAAGAATAGTAGAAGACTTCCGATAAAATAACGACACAAAAATGGAAAGGATATTGGTCATCATTTTGTTAAATAAAAGTAATTTGTAATTTACCACAAAGCCAAAGCACATAAAATTAATGTTTACGGGGGAAATCAACATCTTCAAAGATGAAAACGAAGAAACTTCAAAATTTTCCCTGCGGATAAATAACACTCAGATAGATTAAAGCTTGTAAAGAACACTCAATTTTCTCTGATCGATTTAAAGTCACCAGTAATCGAGCCAATAAATAGTATAGACTCCCCTTCTAGAAATGAAGTGACCAACTGTATATAAAATATATACATGTATATATGCATACACAATGTGTAACCGTCCAAGTCCAAGCCCACCGCTAGCAGATATTCTCCTCTGGGGACTTTTTAAAACGTGTCTACTAAGAGAGGTTTCCACACCCTTATAAAGAATGTTTCGTTCCCTCCCAAACCGATGTGGGATCTCACACAATGGGTCTACAACATTTCGTTGTCCAATAGAAAGGGAACCAATTAAACCAGAAAGATACAATAATAGTACAGAAAACAAACTACAAGTGAATAACAACGCAATAGATCTCTATCCATTTAAATCACAATCAGTTAGAATACAACGGAATTCAGAAGGAATTATTTAAAATAAATTGCAGAATTTGAATTTCAACAAAGATCAAAACCCATAAAACAGTTCGTGCGGTCTCATATGCGGTTTGAAGTTAGAAGAACAAAAGCCTAAGGTGGTTCGAATCATTAGTGTTATTGCCATTCAACTACAACTTTATTAGGCCAAACACATTCTGAACAACAAAAAGTTGTCTAAAATCTAAATCAACATCAAGGGAATATGTTAGCCTAGACGTCTAGAAATATATCGGAATACAAATAACAAGTTTAACTACAATCTGAATCCTTACTACATATCAAATACGCTTGTGGTCAACAATCATGTATTAGAAAAACAAGTCCACCATTGTTTACGAAAGGATCACTAACAAAAATTGTGAATCCTATGTTGCAGAAACTTACCCCGCATTGAATATAATCGGTGGTAGAAGATAAATAAAGAATGTATCTTCGCTGAAAAGCAACAAATGCGAACTTTTCCCACGACTGACCAGTAAAATGACTATTCCAGCAAACATACCCTGAAACAAAAGAGAAAAACAGTAATTTACTAACACCATCAAGATCTATGATATCACTTAATCTTCTATTTTTTGTGATCAAAAGAACAAACTCACAATCAAGAGTGCAGTGATCGACTCATTCATCCATCGGGTCTCCTCAAGAAGATGACCAATCACAATACAAGCACAGAGAAGTGCCACAAATAAGTTGATGGAAACCACAGAGGCATGATCAGAAGTGGACAACGCTTGCCATTTGGACACAACATAGTTCAAAATGGGTGTCATTTTATCAACCTCTTCAATGAAATAATCGTTTTGCCCAAAGAGAAAGGGTTCCAAAACCAAATGATTCCCACTTCCTTAACAGCGCAGAATATCGAGAATCTAGGTCTTCGAACTGCCCATCTCAACAGCAATTCATTCTCAGTAACAACGAAGTCCCTGGATCAAAACAAAATTTAAATCCTAATTCCACATTAATTGAATACTAAGCCAATAAATTTTGAAAACAAAACATAAATTCAACGATTCAAGCCAAAATTCCTTCATCATTCCTCCTTTTCCCTCTCTGCTCTGTTCTCACAGCAGCGAGAAAACGAATGAAAGAGAAAAAAACGGAATCAAATACTCACCTACGCACTTCAAATCGACATGGACAAACGCAGCATTCTAGCAAAGCTCCCGATCCTCGTCGATTCAACGGAGCGCGAAGTCAAATCAGCGAGGGAATTCAAACATCACAAAGCCAATTCCGAGTTGGAATCCGGAGCAATCAGAAAGCTTCCAGCCCCTGTATTCAATCAAGACAAAACGTCTCGAAGAGAATCAAGAGCCCGAGAGCTTCAAAACCAACGAATTCGAAACGAAAAAGGGAAAAAAAGAAAGAAAAAACCAAGATAGGAGTGGAAATTGTGGCCCAAAATCTACTGCTGTTCAAATGGAATGAACAGAGAGAAATAAAAGGGCAATGGATATGAAAATTCTGGAAAGAATAGAGAAAAAATGAGGAGGAGGAGAAAGAAAAACAAATTTGAGAGAGAGAGAGAAAAACCAGAGAGAAGCGTATGGTCCAGAGAGGAAGAGAGTGGAAGAGAGAGGACATGAATGGCACATACGAGTTATTTTATAGTACCCTTCACATGTACCACACACAATACAACATGCCCTCTCATCACCGTTCATCATACCTACATCAACTCTCTACAAATTTTTGGACCATTGTCTTCAAATTTAATTATATACGAGCCAGAGGTGTACATGGGTCGGGTCGGGTCGGGTCAGGTTCAGACAATTTTCTCGACCAACCCAAAAGCTCGGGTTGGTTATATTGGTGGTACCCAACCTAACCCAAAAAAAATTCCATCCCAATACTCTATTTTTGAGTTGATTCGGGTTCGGTTCAGACAATTTTCTCGATCAACTCAAAAGCTCGGGTTGGTTATATTGGTAACCCAACCTAACCCAAAAAAAATTTCATCACATTACTCTATTTTCGAGTTGATTCGAGTTGGGTCGTCTAGTTCTTTAAAAAAAAATTAATTTTTTAAAAAAGTTTTATTTACCCCCGAGACATAATCCACTGGACAAGAAACTCAATTCTGCACTGCAGCTGAGTCGTCGAACTTATCCACCGAGAGAAAATCGATTATTACCTTGTTACGTGAGAAATCTCCTCGATGCAAATGCAGTAGCTCCAGATCAATACCCCAACCACGTGATCGAGACCTATACACCCCACCCCTTTGTATGGTTACAGTTATTTAATACGATATTAAAAATTAACAAATAACCACAAATCAATGATAACAATTACAACCAGCAAACATTTAACATCTCAACATAGTTTAATATTGTAGACAACTAAATAACGACGCTTCTTAAATAATTGATTTTTTTAAACATAAAAAAAATATAATGATAGATCACGAGATAAAAAAAAATAATAAAAATAATTATTCATGCATGATATTTATAAATTCTCTTATTCATACTAATGCACCAAAATTCAATAATTTATTACTTATAAAATTAACAATAAAATTTAAATATTATATAATATATAGATATAAATATAGATATAGTTTGTCATAGGCATGCGGTCATGGACAACACGCCTTGAACGAGCATGACAGTGACATCCTCCCCCACCTAATTAGTTGACGTCTTTGTCAACCGACTACTTTCAAACCTGGCGATGTGGATGGCGGAGGGGTCTAGATTTTCGGCACGTTCCCAGCTGGTCTCCTCCGCAGAGAGATTCTTCCATTTGACAAGGAATTCGCGAATCTTCCGTACATGTATTCCTATCTTCCTAACTCTGTCGGCTAAGATCTCCTCTACTTCTTTGGTGTCTCTTTGTTTCAGATCGATGCTCGATCTCGTGATTACATTTCTCTGGTCGTCGTCTGGGAAAGGGTGATAGAGCTTCAAGTTGATCACATGAACTACTGAGTGGATTTTTATACATGTGGGTAGCGCAACTCTGTAGGAAGTAGCCCCGATTTTTTAAGGATATATATATATATATATATATATATATATATATATATATATATATATATAATTTTATTTTATTTTTTATTTTTACTAATACGGTGAAAAGTGTTTTTAGTAATTATTTATTTAAAACAAAATATAATGAAAATGTGACAAGTCAGTACGTATTTACTATCACCAACTGAATTGAATCAAGACGTCTGATCACATCACATGTTAAAGGCCCCACAACAGTCTCACCTTTGTTATTGTAGGTCCAGCTGTACCGTATCGAAACCCTTCTCTGCATGAGGCAAGAACCCAATCATTTATATATATATATTTGTAGTATTAATTATTTAAAATAATATAACGGTAAATTAAAATGTTAATTGGATAAAATAAATTTTATTATTTGTGGATTACGTAGGAAGAGAATAATTTTTTTAAAATAACCTGAAATTTTTTATTAATTATTAAAATGAAGAATGACGATCTGAAAAAATAATATTTAAATGGTTCAATCAAAACTGGAAAGGTGTAAAAATTATATTTTTAAAAATGAATATTTAAAAACACGTGGCGAGAAATGATTGGGTGATCTGCAGTCAAATCTGTGATAGATGGGAATCACATGGATCATGATCTATCTAACTTTTCTTTATTTTGTTGAAGGAATCACGGACCTCGTTTAAAAGTTGCTTTTCTTTATATATTTATTTATTTACTTATTTAATAAATTAATAATTTCTTGTTATAATATTAAAAATTAAAATTTTAAAAATTAGGTTATGTATATCTATAATAGAAATAAATAAATTGTCCAAGAATCTAATTTCTTCGAATTTATATGGAAAAATATAAATAATAAATAGAGAATAAAATAAAAGAAGAGAGATCATGGAGAGTTCGATCATGGCTCAGGACGAACGCTGGTAGCATGCTTAACACATGCAAGTCGGTAGGGAAGTGGTGTTTCCAGTGACGGACGGGTGAGTAACGCGTAAGAACCTGCTCTTGGGAGGGGAACAACAGTTGGAAACAACTGCTAATACCTCGTACGCTGAGGAGCAAAAGGAGGAATCCGCCCGAGGAGGGACTCACGTCTGATTAGCTAGCTAGTGAGGCAATAACTTACTAAGACAATGATCAGTAGTTGGTTCCAGAGGATGATCAGCCACACTGAAACTAAGACATGACCCAGACGACTACTACCGAAGACATTTTTAATTATTTATCTGTATTTTAATCATTTTTAAAAACCAAAATAGAAGAATTAGTATGTGATAATGCCATGCCTCCAAAAATTAAATTTTTATTCCAATTTTACATTTATTTTAAGAAATTAATTACTATTTTTTTATTAATTAAAAAAAATTAAATATATTTTTAGGTGGAAAATATAAATTTTATTATTACAATCTTTTACCGTTCATAATTATAGTTGGGTTAAAAGATGGATAATTACCTCTTAGTATAACTAATTCTCTAATAAATAATTTATTTATGATCAAATCATAAACTAAGTCTTTCTCGTGCTAGTGATTAGATGAGGTCTCATTGTTCAAGTTTCGAGATCATAATTATTCATATGTTTGCTCTATGTAACGACCCTAAATTTTCTATTTAATTGTATACATATCATGAGCATTGAATGTGAAATTATTTTATTTAAATTTTCATAAAACACAGCCACGTGTTTGAAAACATCTTTAAAATGATACAATAAAGAACAAAATAAAATAAATTAACAATTAAATTAACAACATCCTATTCTAGCCTAAGTTTAAGAAAGATAAATCCGACTACCCTATGCATGTGTCATGATCTCGAGTTGCAATGTTGTTGCCAACTGTACAAAAATGTCTTGTCTTCACAAGTAGCATGTGGCTTGAGTATTTAAATACTCTGCGAGTGATCTACTATTGAGGTTAAATGCAAACACATGTCATTTCATGAATGGATTTATTATAACAGTTTATTTTCGTACGTAATTTTCTTACACACAGTCCGCACGTGCAAGTATGGACCCTCTTGTGTCCCATTTCTGGTTGGGTGAACATTCTTCAGGAGCGGTTGATGCTAGAATTCTTGGACGACTACTAATTTTTTTTTTTTTTTTTTTTGAATCCTTACACTCTATATGTTATGAACTTTCTACATGGTCAAGTTTCGAAAATAGTAGACATGTTGAATCGGGTATAAAAACTATTTTTATCTATATAAATCAAAGAACATGTCTTCACAGATAGAGTTTATAATTCATTTAAGATTAAGATTGAATCGCATATGAACCTGGTATGAAATATGAATCTTGTTCATTAATGAATAAATAAAGAAAGATTAAATATTTAATGATTCAGTCACTAATAATGTTACCAAAACACCTAATCATATAATGTCTTGTTTTAGGTTATGTATTCAATTTAAGGTTAAAATACCATTTTTGCCGTAAACTTCGGGACCCATTCGTTTTTTTGGTAAATATATTTTCAAATATTTAATTTTTTTTATGCAATTTCCATAAATCTTAAAATTGTTCCATTTTAGTTTACAAAATATGAAATTTGGTATTTTTTTTTTCTTGGCAGGAAAATTATTACTTTTTAACCCTTTTTTTTTATAATAATTTTAAAGAATTAAATTTAAAATTTATTTAAAAAGGGAGAGCTCAAAGAGGACAACATCGGCTAACGATGGGGTTGGGCTGTTAGAGAATGTCCTATAATCTCTTCTTAATCTCAGAGCTCAGAGTGTAGTAGTTTCTACAGAGTGTGTGAGATCTCACATCGATTGGAGAAAGAAACGAGTACTAGCCAGAATGCTAGACCCTGAAGTAGAGGGTCAGCGTCCCCCCTAGTAGACTCATTTGGGGAGGGGAACAAAATATTTTTTATAAGAGTGTAGAAACCTCTCCTTAGTAGACCTGTTTTAAAAAATTTAAGGGGAACCTCGAAAGGGAAAACTCAAAGAGGACAACATCGGCAGACGATGGGGTTGGGCTGTTAGAGAATGTCTTATAATCTCTTCTCAATCTCAGAGTGTAGCAATTTCTACAGAGTGTGTGAGAACCCACATCGATTGGAAAAAGAAACGAGTATTAGCGAGGACGCTGGACCCTGAAGTAGAAGGGCAACGTCCCCCTAGTAGACTCATTTGGGGAGGGGAACAAAATATTTTTTATAAGAGGGTAGAAACCTACCCTTAGTAGACCTGTTTTAAAAAATTTGAGGGGAACCTCGAAAGGGAAAACTCAAAGAGGACAACATCGGCAGACGATGGGGTTGGGCTGTTAGAGAATGTCTTATAATCTCTTCTCAATCTCAGAGTGTAGCAATTTCTACCGAGTGTGTGAGAACCCACATCGATTGGAAAAAGAAACGAGTATTAGCGAGGACGCTGGACCCTGAAGTAGAGGGTCAGCGTCCCCCTAGTAGACTCATTTAGGGAGGGAAACGTTGCATTCAACCAACTCGAGCCAACTAAAACGACAACTACCGACATAATTTGTATGAAAAGAGGATCCACACGACCAACCTACCTCTTATGTTGTCATCATCAAACTAGTTAGGCAGGTGAGTTGAGAGGAT